AAAACCAAATTAACGAGTGTATATACCCTGAAAGTAAGAGATAAATATTTGTAATTACGTATTTCTTATCCCTGTTTCAATATAACGTATTAAAATTTTGGCTCCCGTGTTTACCTAGACAGTAATGTAATATAAACTGGTTAATGCTTAAGAGCAACAAGCGTATGATGCAATAACGTCATATTTACCAAGATGAATTCGCTGCTGGGCGTCCCTTTGATAAAATCCCTTTCTTTGTTTCTTCTTCTTATAAAGCAAACTGGTGAGTAATAGTAGTGTGTGTGTGTGTGTGTCGTGGCTTATCATCTTCCGATACAAACATTTCTTTGTTTTGGAGTTAGTATACGAAATCGGTCTGTTTGAGAAACAATTAGGGATTAACTGTACGCGTGAACAAAACCAACTTTTTGGTACCTTCCTGCAGCAGCCACTCGTGGAAATTACTGATCGTGAAAAGTCGGATCTGTTCACGCGTACAGTTTCTGTTAATCTCTCATTGTTTCTCAAAGAGACCGATTTCCTACACTAATTAAGTCGTTAATTTTGAATAAGGACAGTCGCCATATATATTCCATACGGAATTATTCTCCGCAGAATTCAACGTCACGAAATGTTGGTTTGCTTCTGGTAACAGAAATAGACTTTCTTTTCACAGGTTCTTACAAATCTCTTAGTAACTTTGCGGTATTTTGAAAGCATCTCACAGCACATCTGATTTGTGATCTTTTCTTGAATTCTTAATAGCAGCCTCCTTATACCTTGCGGAGAAATTGGATAACGATGATCTTCTGGGATAGGTAGAAAGTTAACGTGCACGCCGGCATGCATATTTCTTCTACTAACTTTTCGTTTTCGTTCTAGTCTCTGAAACGGCTACAGAGATCAAAACTAAAAAAAATCCTTCAAAAACTGTAAAGTGTATCCCGATACAATACACAATACAATAAAGTTTATGCACGAGCATCAACGAGTATCAACGAGTGTCAATACATTGGCCAAGATTTATGCAGGAAAGATTTACACAGAATAATATAATTTTCTTACTTGTACGGAAATTAACTGACCTGACCTAACTGATCTACTGCCCTTTATATCGTTGCTTGAGAAATTCAGCATTTTTGGACTAAATGAGGCAAAAGATTATTAAGGTAAGAGAGTGAATCTCCCATATAGGTCCTCTACCTAAGGTAATCCATCTTAAGTTACTTTTAGACATGGTACCCAGTTCTTCCGAGGATGTTACTCGCGCGATGCGTGGACAGCCCAAGCGACTTTCTCGAAACTAAATGAAATGGCGGGAACTTCATTNCAGTCGCCATATATATTCCATACGGAATTATTCTCCGCAGAATTCAACGTCACGAAATGTTGGTTTGCTTCTGGTAACAGAAATAGACTTTCTTTTCACAGGTTCTTACAAATCTCTTAGTAACTTTGCGGTATTTTGAAAGCATCTCACAGCACATCTGATTTGTGATCTTTTCTTGAATTCTTAATAGCAGCCTCCTTATACCTTGCGGAGAAATTGGATAACGATGATCTTCTGGGATAGGTAGAAAGTTAACGTGCACGCCGGCATGCATATTTCTTCTACTAACTTTTCGTTTTCGTTCTAGTCTCTGAAACGGCTACAGAGATCAAAACTAAAAAAAATCCTTCAAAAACTGTAAAGTGTATCCCGATACAATACACAATACAATAAAGTTTATGCACGAGCATCAACGAGTATCAACGAGTATCAATACATTGGCCAAGATTTATGCAGGAAAGATTTATACAGAATAATATAATTTTCTTACTTGTACGGAAATTAACTGACCTGACCTAACTGATCTACCGCCCTTTATATCGTTGCTTGAGAAATTCAGCATTTTTGGACTAAATGAGGCAAACGATTATAAGGTAAGAGAGTGAATCTCCCATATAGGTCCTCTACCTAAGGTAATCCATCTTAAGTTACTTTTAGACATGGTACCCAGTTCTTCCGAGGATGTTACTCGCGCGATGCGTGGACAGCCAAAGCGACTTTCTCGAAACTAAATGAAATGGCGGGAACTTCATTGTATATGCTTTGATTTCGTTATATAGCAGAGATGTTTTCTGCACTCTCAGCCGTCTTTTTGTTCGGCCGGGCTTTCGTTTGTTTTGTGCTCGTTTGGCTGTTCATTATTTGGCCGTTTGTTCGGTTTTAGGGAGTTTAATTAAGCAAACTTTGACGGCAACGGCAACTAGTACAATGGCTGTGTAAGCGTGCGTTATAATTATTTGTTCAGTTCTTTGCAATTGCTTACAAAAGGTCACAAACAACAACGTGAAATAGCCACATTCTGCATATTCGAGAGAACGTGAACTATATGAGGGCCAATTATTAAAATTCTTTTTCGAATTTTGACGCAGTCTTACATATTCTGTTTGGGATATTTCTGACAGTATAGACAAAATGAATAAATCTAAATTAACGCGAGATTCGTGGGTTGAATATTAAGTCGTTTTTTAGTCGACCTTGTCTTTGGTGTTGTTGCCGTTGCTGCTTAAACTGATTGTTGCTACTTGGTCAGCGAACGCCTGCTTTTACTTTCGACCATCTGTTTATTCGGTTGCCTAGCTTGTGTTTGAGCGTTTGTTTGCTGTGCACTCGTTTGTCCAAACATTTCTCTGCCGTTCATTCAGTTGTTGTTGTTTGTGCAGGGGACATCCGTCTCTTATTCAAACTCCTATTAAAGTTTCGAAATATATTAAAACATACCGAGAGCCCAAGCTCCCCTGCTTGTAATCAAAATATCAAAGAAGGCATCCCCACAGCGTTGGAGGTTTTCCTTTGCTTCGAAACGAAACGAAACGAAACGACATAAACAGATCCTCCTCGAAAACATCCACGCAACGCGCCAGTAATATCGGCGGAAGAACTGGGTACAATGTCTAAAAATAACTTAAGAGGGATTACCTTGGATATAAGGCCTATATGGGAGATTCACTCTCTTACCTCGATAATCTCTTGAATGAGGTCAGTCATGGTATTTTGGCCATGTACAAAATTACCTTTAAATTGAAGGAAACCTGAAAATAATAGCTCAAAAAGATAAATACCAAAGCTGTAATAATAACTATACAGGAACAAGGATGGTTAAGGATGGAGAAGATTAACGCAGACCGATTACAAACGACGAACTTGAAAAATGTAGGCAATTTTTTCAAAGATACGCGAACTATAACATTGATCCATGACATTCGGCCTGGGCTGGAAGGGGGAGGGGAGGGGGGAGGGGGCGGTAAAGAGGATTCGGACAGCACAGTTATAATGACTTGAGAGGATGGCTGTTTCAGTTGTGTAGCTCTCTGTAAACGTAAGATGTTTCGTTTTCCAGGACGTTACTGTAAGTTTCACCAGGGCAAATTAGTGTCTGCAATGAGAACACGTTTTCATAAGGTCTTCAGGGAATTGGCAGTATAGCTTGTATATTACAAGGTTTTGACAATTTGATTTTCTTCAGGTGCTGACGAAGAAGCGAATGATTGCCTCTTTGTTTCCCACCTTACTGGCGAGGATTTTCCTCACTGCGGTTCTTCTCTGACACCATGCCGGCGTTTATCACAAGCACTACAACTTGTTCGTGATGGCGGCAAGATTTGTCTTGACGGAAGGAAAAGTGAATTACATCCATACGGCTGTTTAAGAATTGATAACAATTCTGATGGGGAAGAAAGGATAATAATACTCAAAAGTGTTACAATACAAGGTCACTTCTCTGAGGCCCACATTTCCTGTGAAAATCCCGTTGGTCTAATTTTTGGCACACATGCTACAGCTGGCATTCTTAAAGTTACCCTCTCTAACCTTGTATTCAACGCTACTAATGCCATTTTTTATAAAGTGTGCTCCTTTGATGTTGCAATAACTAAATGCAAGTTTATAAACTGCTCCTATGGAGTTGGCATGCGACAAGAAGAATCATTTTCACCTAGCTGCCAGAAGTCGACGCTTGCAGTCAGCGACAGTGAATTCTGGTACAATAAAAACTCTATAATAGTCCACTTATTTAACGAATTCTTCAATCTGACGATATCAAGATGCCTTTTCCAGGGCAGAAAGGGACAGTTTAATGTAACATCGTGGGACAGAAAAACAACAGCTGCCGTATACGTCCATTCGACAGTTTTGAGGGAGCTTCCGAAGATGTATGTAGCTGCGTCCATCACCGATTCCATTTTCAGAGAGCTCGGTCACGAGGACAATGGCTTCGCTTTCTCGGTGAGAATTCGGCACGATTTCAGCTATGGAAATTTGATATTTTCAAACTCTTCGTTTATAAATAACGAGAATGCTGTTTTTGTCCATGGTGGATTTGGCTTAAGATTAACCAAAGTGACTATAAACTCCACGTATGGGTATGCCATCACGGCCAGTGGTCCCCCCAAAACAACACCTACAACACCGGGGATAAAAGTTCTCCTCGACCAGTGTCTTTTGGCAAACAACAGGTTTGGCATTCGGATGTCAACCACTTCTTGTTTAGGTAATGATTACATTTGCTCAACAAGCGACCAAACACTTGTTGTAAGAAACAGCCTATTTCTAGGTCACGAAACACGCGGCTCTGGAGATGCAATCAGATTTGCAATAATACGTCCCACGCAGGAACCGAGTCCGAAAACACAAACACAACTTTCTCATGATGTGGAGACGATGCAACCAGATCAACAGTTATATTTGTCTTCAGACTTTGAAGCAAAGTTACTTCTTGAAAACGTTACTTTTCGCGAATTACACGGCTATGCCCTGTCCGTTCAAGCCGATAAGAATGTCCGTGGGCTGATTTCCATTAAAAACTGCAAGTTTCTTAACAACTCTCAGTTAATGCATCGTTTGGTCGATCGAGCAACCGTACATATCGAAATTAAAGACGAAGATCCGCCTAAATGTCGCGAACAAGAACGGAGCAACACTAATGAATTCATGTGGAAGAAGAACTTTACGCTCCCTGTCATATTTGAGGATAGCATATTTGAAGGCAACGTGGGTGTCTCTGGAGCTTTAGACCTCATGAACGGCAACGTCACCATCAAAAACTGTCATTTTAAAGACAACGAGGGATTAACACCGGGTGGTCACGTGTTCATGAAAACAGGCTATGGCAGACTTAACATTGTGAACAGTTCATTTCTTCAAACAGCTTTAAAACGATTATCTAACGTAAAACAATCAGTCTCTAGCTATGGCTGTTTTCTCCGCTCTGAGAGTGTCGGTCCCGTCACAATTGAAAGTTCTTCTTTTACAGCTAACGTCGACAGGGAATTTTATAACCCTCTGCTCGAAGTTACAAAGTGCAGCTCAATAAACATTGATAACTCTTCTACTCTTCGATGCCGGAACGGACGGCAAATGAAACAAGAAAAAATTATAACCGGTTTTGAACTTGTCAAGGATGGTAATGAGAAACTTGTCTGGGATGGTGACGAGACATGTTGGGCGAACGTCAGTTACATCAAATTATTCTGTGATGAGTGTCCCGATGGTTTCTATACTTTACAGCGAGGTTCAACCAGTGGTTTAGATATAAACAAGGACACTGAGTGCCTGAAATGTCCCTACGGAGCAAAATGTGAAAATGGAAACATTATAGCCAAAGAGAACTTTTGGGGCTTCAGCATTTCAACAAGACCACCAAGTCTGCAATTCATTTCATGTCCAGTGGAATACTGCAGAACTCCAACCCATTCCTCTCGTCAAGCTTACAATGTTTGTCATGGTAACAGGTCAGGCGAGCTGTGTGGCCAATGTTCTGCTGGGTACAGTGAAGTCCTGTATTCCACGTCATGCAGAAAAATAGAGAAATGCAATGATCACTGGTTTTGGGTGGCATCGTTTATCTACGTCATGTTCTTTGCACTTTACGTCGTCTTTAGGCCTCCTATCTTCTCACTGTTATATCAGCAGAGCTTGTGGTTTACGAAAAAAGCCGAAAATGTTCGCCAACAGTCGTCATCAAACGAAGACAACAGTGATAAGCACGATGCTGGGTACCTGAAGATCGTCTTCTATTTTTATCAAGTTGCAGAGTTGGTGATGGTTAAGTCCCCCGAGAATACTCTACATATGGTTCCCTTCATTCCACCAGTGATTGCACTTTTTAATTTTCAAGTAAAAACTATGAATGGTAGCATTGGCTGTCCATTTCCTGGTCTTGATGCCGTCACCAAAGAACTATTCATGTGTTTAAAGTTTTTGGCAACATTGATTTCCGTCGGTTTCATCCACGCCATTCATCGATTCATTAGCAAATCGTTTCACTTGGCAGCCCCATCACTGCCATTGTATCTGGCCGTGGCGCTGGAAACATTGTTACTTGGATACGAAACACTTGCAGACACAACTCTCAAGCTCATTCACTGTGTTCCTATTGGCCAGGAGTGGCGTCTGTTTATGGATGGGAACATTCAGTGTTGGCAGTGGTGGCAATATCTGTTGATTGTCTTCATAGTGGCGTTTGTCATTCCCCTGGTTTTAGTCCTTTTCTGGGGATCGCTGATGCTTTCCAAAGACAGAGTGTCGGCTAAGGAATTCTTGATATCTTGTGGATTCCCTTTGCCTTTTCTTCTTATCTGGCTCTTTCGATACTGCAAGAAGAGACCAAATAGAAACCAACCTTACCCGTCCTGGGTAAATTCACGCGACGATGCAGAAGAAATCAAAAAGGTTCTTCATGATCCATTCCGACCTTCCTCTGATGGCAAGCATGGCACATTATACTGGGAAAGTGTACTGACTGGCCGAAGGTTGATCTTGCTGACCATCCATGCTTTCTCCACAGATCCAATGATACGTTTCGTCTGCCTGGATTTTGCATGTTTTCTAATTCTCCTGCATCATCTTACAGCAAGGCCATTCCGCGAGCGTAAAGCTAATATCTGGGAGAGCCTTTCTCTTATTAGCTTGGTTGCTATCTGCACTGTCAATTTAGCGGAAGCCACGTATATTTCCGAGGGAATAGAGCCCACGGGACCAAGTAACAGCCTTCTTCACGCTTTTCTGTGGATCGAGGTTGTCTTGCTCGGCCTGCTACCTTCTGTTGCTTGTCTCCTTGTGGTGTTTGCTGTTTTATCTCAAGTTACCCGAGTCTTGTACCACTGCATCAGAATCTTGTCAGCTGCTATGCACGAATGCGTAACACGTGCAATGCCTCTTGGTTCTTCATCAAGGTCCAGGCAACTGGTTCTTATTGACTGGGGGGATCCTGAAGAATTGCATAGTGTAATATAAAGTGTTAATATCATGCCTATCATGTAAACATTTTTTTGGAAGAAAAATGTAGTTTCACGGGCAAATGTCTCATTGCCATACAAAATCCTATTGAGTAAGGATTGATTGGGGAATGGTAGTTAATGTGCATGTTGGCGGGAAATGTTCCACGACCTTCAAAGACCCGTCGTACCAAGAGAAAATGAGGGTCGTACTTAGTCACACACTTAACGCCTATGGTGTACGCCTGAACCCTAATCTCGTTTCAAAATAGATATGTATTGTAGATCATTGCCATTTTTTCTTTTCCTGGTTATTATCTAATATTCCTTCATTTCACTCAAATTTTGTTGACAATACCATGTAATTCGACCAGTTGCAACTCACGTTGATTACCATCCCCAGCTCACCTGAGCTTTGAGAAGATTAGTGAAACTAAATCAGTAAGAACACATATTATTCTCAGCTTAGACAAGGCTCTCAATTAAAACTAATGAGTGTATATCCTCCGTAATCATAATGACACAGTAGCTTATCAAGGAGGGAAGCAAAGAAGAGGGGTTTGGCGTCACAAGAAACTGTACAATGGGCCTACCTCACGTCCCAATTTTCATCTCCAGAGCCCGAAAGGGTACTCCCAAAAAAAATTTGGTGGTGATGTGCGACCTGCTTCCCAAAACCCTTACCATATTTATGACCAAAATCTGAGATTTTCCCTACCCTATTTATGACCAGACCAAAAATTCTATACCCTATCTATGACCGTTAAGGCTGACACAGTTGCCCTCAAAATAATTTTTGAAGAGCTTTTGTTTATGGTCTTATCGATAATGAGCAAAGAGTAGCTTCTTCTAAAAAATATACCCAATTCAAGACTAGAGTACAAAAGCCATACCCTATTTAAGACCAAAATGGCCAAATCGATACCCTATTTATGACCGAAACGGCTGAAAACCCATACCTTTTGGGCTGCACATACCTATATAGCTCATATAACGGAGTAATCCCCCTGGCTCCAGAGGCACTTGTCTGTCTTACCCGGCAGGGCCTTGGGGGAGTGGGTGGCTCCATAGCCAAATGATATGACTGGCTAGATTCTCCTAAGACTTTCACTAATTCAACGCTTGTTTCCTTCCCGGTTTATCCTTAACTAAAACTGTTTAATCACAGTACCTGCAGAACTTTAGGAAGTTTAAAACGGCTTGCAGGGAGAATTTTCGGTGAAGTTCTCGATAGGTAAACATATTCTGCCGCGCTGTTTTGAATTCTCTTTGAAACATCTTTTGAGGACTGTGTGTGCTGTAATGCCGTTTTTGTAAGAGATCAACCAGTGAGGTTTTTCAGCCGTAAATCTAAGGCCGCATTTATATGGTCCCGGGTACCCGAGACAACCCTCCCACCGAGTTACCCTGGATGAGTTCACTTTTATATATTAGTTCAACGGAGCCCAAGGTGATCGACTAACCAAAGGAAACTCAAAGAAACAGGGATAACTACGCATATGAATATGTACTAAGGGCTATAAATAATCGTGCAGGGTCAACTTCTCGGCCAGCAGGGAGGGACAACTTTTTCTCATATAAACGCTCAATAAAGTTGCCCCGGGAGAAGGGTTCTTTTGGGTACCCAAGACCATATAAATAGGGCCTCAAAGAATCTGGCCAATAAAATGATGTGTCTCGAGAGCAACTTGTTCCTCGTGCTAAGGCCCCGCTGACCAAGAAATCCAAGAAGCAGCAAAAAGAAAGATATTGGGAACGAGGTTACAACATCGACGGTGTGTTTATCGTTTAGTCTGGGAAAGAGGTGAAAAATTTCACGGCACTGAATTTTACTGATACCCGACTGATATGAATACATTGTCAAATCGCTTCCTATCCTCGATTAAGACTTTAATCATCTCCGCCGTGCAAGAAACTGTTTACGTTATTTTGATATACATATCATTAGGAGTACAGACACCTCAATATTTAGAATTGCGAAACCATTGAAAGGTTTTTTTGTAATGGTCAAGGCTGCGTATGCCGGGTATTATACTCCCACACAAATTGTCTTCTCTTTATTTTCATGATTATTGTTATGATTAATTACTTTTTCTGTCACCTTTACGTCTCTCGTGACGTCGTTTTCCCGACAACAACGGCCGATCGATTTTCCCGACCCAATATAAAACTCAAATATTATAAAATGGTTTTCCTCTTTGCAGACTTCGCAGAAATCTTTTTCACAAAGGATGGCATTGTTTTGAAAATATTGTCGACAACTGCAATTAAGCATCAAGCGTCTTTGTAATATCCGGCTCAATTTAGGTGAATTTGAAGATGTTAAACTGAATTGTGGCCAAAACATCCCGAGTTGAATTATTTATAAACATCAATTTGCTTGCACTTAATTTATTTTCCTGGAGAATATGACTAGCACAGGTGATCCGTAGCTTTTTGTCATCGCTCTTTCTGCTCTTCTTGTAAATGAATTCACCGGTGGTTCTTTTTGGGAAGGAAAGGGCATTGTGCTTGATCTGTTTAGACTGAGTTACTAGAAGATCAAATTTCCTCCTGGGCGACTCCGTAAGTACGTTCAAGGTGACGTGGAAGTCATCAGCCGTGACAAAGCGGCGAAGTATTTTGCAATTTAAATTACTCTTCCGTTTCAATTTTTGACAGGCAAAGTGAAGCATCATGTCACTGCGACAGCGGAGTTTTGTCATTTCCCTTCGTCTGTGATGCAATTGGAGACGTTTACGTTAAAATTTCGCTTTCTTGTCGAATCGAAAAGACTTCGTAACTATACGGCCATCATTTTGTTACACCGTGACCAACTAATCAACCGCAACCTTACAGTGTGCGATAAATGTTGAGCTGTTAAACATTTGAACTTGAAATCAAGACGAGAGGCGAACGGAAATTAGACTCACAAAGCTACTACTATTCATTGAACGAGTGATTGCCTAGAATTAAGCAGATCTACAAGAGGAGTATGCCACGGACGAAACTGTCTGCATAGAGGACTTCATTTCTCAGGGAAATTTTGACTTATTGAGCATGAATCACCCGTTTGGAGATGACAACGAATATCACCATTTCCATGATGAAATCTTCTCAACTCTTCAAGGTACGTGACCGTTTGAAATCCTGCTAAATACATGTATATTGATGGTCAGTTAGACGAAGCACGATCATTTCTATCAAGGAAAGTAATGGATTTATAGTTTGTTTTGTCGTGCCAGCGAACAGAATTTCCAATTTTATTGCGTGCGCCAAACTTTAGTAAACAAACGTGTTGTTCATGGCAAATAAAAGTATTTCATTCAGGATTAAATGTTTTTCTTTGCTCTAGATAAGGGAGTCAAGAATTAAAGCAACTGAAAGCGGAATTTTAACACTTTTTTTGTCACTTAGCTTTGATAAAAAATTTAGGATAACTTGCACGAATACTACAGAATCAAACAGATATGGGAATAAATGTTTGTTCGGTAAAGTTGAAAATTTATTCATAGGTCAATCTTTCTGTTTATTTCCCCTTCTACTCTTCGGTGAATATTCTGAATGGTGTTGATCGGTTATTAGGTTATGTAAAAAGCCGAATTCTTTATTATTATTCGAAAAATTATTTTGCGTTATTCCCTGATGTTTAAAATCATCGGTGACACAATGAAAGCAACAGGCGACGGAAAATTAGTTAATAGTTATATTGATTTTCCTTTTCTTCTCTAATCAAGATACAATTGGGAACGAGGGAAACTGCAAAACGTAAATAGGAAGTATGAATGAAATAATAAGAAGTCTCGGTTTTGTACAGCCTGGTAAATGTTTACGAATTCGCCATAATCCGAATACTGCTCCTTTGGGAAAGGATCTACGGTTCTTTCTTGATAAAACAACAAAGTAATATTCCTCCAAAAGGTATTACGAGGATATTATCTTAACAATTAAAAAAATTGGTCAGATATTTTTTAATCTAGCACACTGTTATTTATAAATGCTGTCTAAAACTCTATTCTTAGTGTATTTGGTATAAGGAAAAAATTTCCGTTTTCCGCGCTTAATGGTGATATGTGTCGAAATGTCTATGCGTACCACGAGAGTTGTTATTGTTCGCTAACGGAAGCCAGAATACTGTAAAAGGAAAACGTTCGCCTTTCTCTCAGACAGATGACGGATGTTTGAATTTTTGTATGCAAATTCAATTCTGAGTTATCAGGTGAAATAAAAGCATGCATCTAAAATGTTTCTCTTTTTTTCCGGTGGCAAGACCGATATAGGGTTTGTTTTGCATGCGTGGTCTCTGGTTTCGCGGAAATCTTGGCGAGGGGTCATGTGGCTTCTTTCAGTTTACAACGATAGAAATGATTAAAAATAACACTTATCATATTTTTAAGGTGATTGCGAAGATGATTTGAAGGGACTCAAGAACGTTTGCACAAAAAATTAACCGAATGATACGGCAAACTTTGTTCTGAGAGTCAACAGAAAGGCAATTGCATTTTTAGTCTATGTTCATTCAAATTCACCTTGTCCTTTTTGTTTGCTTTGCCGAAACCCTGCTAAGTTTTGTTTTCGGTAAAAAGCAAGTGTTAGAAACTGAAATAATACCGAAATTAATAATAGAAACTAAGAACCTTTCCGGATAGATTCCAAGTCTATAGAAAACGATATCAACTTCCCTCCAGGTTTATAATGCATGTTTTTCTGCACGTGAGATAGCAGTGACCATTATCTGATCGTTACATGACGGGGTCAACGGTTTTGGGGACCTCGATGACTAGTTGTTTTGGGATTTTGGATTAATCCGTTACCAAAATGACCTGAAATGTCTGTGATTGAGATAAAAATAAACGGCAAAAGAAAGTTATTTGGTTAACCTACTCCGTCAACTTCTCTTGATGTTTATGTTATTGTAAACTGTGTATACCGTATATCTATATTTAACGTTCATGGAAAATATCGGGGAAGATATCGATTGAGTTCATAATGTTAAGAGTTATTTTAAAAACGGATTTTTCAGATATTTCTCAGTATGATATTCCTGTAGGATTTATCACAGGAAATGAACTTAAGAATGGCTGACTGTTAGGATCGAGAAACGCCGGTCAACGTCCCATTTGACAAATCGCTCATATTTTGCCCAAAGATACCCTTAGGTGACCTAATTCTAAAAATCATTTAAAGGTTCCAGCGAATTTTTATTTTTCAGAAATTCGCGAAAATTTGAAAGCGCGGTCAAAGTGCGGTTTTTCGTGTAATAAAATGACCGAAATAAGGTGCGAGGACGAAGCGCTGCTAAAGTCTTAAAATAAACTCAATTGACTTCAAACTTCACACAAATTTGGAATAACCACTCTAATTTATTCCTCGCTTTAAACTAATCTCAGATATGTTGATATAGTGGTTTTCCGAACCATT